CGTTTTTGTCTTGACTTGCCCAGCTCTGCATGGAAAACGACTCTACTTAGATCTTTAATATCATTTCTCTGTATTAAAAGAATGCACTTTTAAAATGACTTAAGAGACAGACAAAATTAGTAGTCGGAAGAAGATCGGTAAAACCTTTTCCCAAGTCAAGTCTGACTTGAGTTGTCCAGCTCCGGTACCACGTTCATTGAAGCCTAAGAAAATACACGTATCAATTTCGCATAAATAATTCCAATTAAATATTGAATTTTTCTGCATGAATTGTAGAGATTAAATGGAAAAATCTGTCTGTAATATACTTGCGGTTACTATCGATATACAGTCCGCAAGGGTGAGCTTTACAAAACTACATAAAATCGGCTAGCTAAGAATCATACTTACAAAAGGTCTGATTGAGGAAATTAAGAGGTAGCCGAAATATGATCATCAAGTTTGTACGAAATCCTTTTTGCTAGGGTTTAATATGAAACCCGTTCTACGAAACCTTTTTGTCAATAAAAACAATAGAGGTTTCGTAGCTGAACGCCGGAACCTAGGTTCGTACGAAACTTAAAAGGGTATAGAAATGGTTGCAATTCTCTATACCCTTTTAGGTTTCGTAATAAACCATTTTTTTTAGAGAGTAGTTATAGTATTAAGTGGTTTTTTCAAGGATCATGGGTATATTGCGTTTCGGTATGTTTCCTCTTTGCCAGAGATTCTCTCTCCCTCTTTTTGAACAAGAAAATTTCTGCTGCAGTTTGAATTGGTAGTATACTCCATTTCTATTCGAATTTGTTTTCTCGCGTCCAGCTAATGCAACACTTTGATCGATGTGGTAATTATTATGAACGTCCAATCATATCTATAAGATATAATAGACAGATATAATGATTTTCACCTATCTTAGTGCCTTGAACACTCTGTTAGTCGTTTTTCTGCCATAACGAAAAAGTTTGTATTGTTCAAAAACACACCATTGGATAGCCCTTAAAATTCTCTACAAAGTAAGCTGGTCACAATATCCAGAAAGGTGGGGCCAGTCATTAAAGATATGGAAAAGAAGCTTTTGGGTGTTATCTAAGCAGTACAGTGTGTCATAACCACAAGAACTCCCTTGTTTTTGACTTTTTAGTAAAAGCTGGAACCAATCTGAATAATGTTTTGAATAGCCCGAAGATTTTTCTATCAGAGATGCATATCGCCCTTTCATGAGAAAAGTTGATAATAGAGCTTCTGGGAAACCTGATCGTTGGAAAACCAAGTCCTTAGATTTTGGCCCGAAAATTTTATCAAACCATATGGCCTGATAGAGCGAAAAATTCTAAACAAAATAACACATCTCGTGGCATTCTATAGTCCTCTTTCACGTAACTGTAGTCGATTTACCATTAGCTACAAAGGGCGTGAAAGTTACCGAAATATTCCGGTGAAAAAGCACTGCAGAATGCTGGCAGATATCTTATTTGGTTCAGAATTCTTGGCTCTATCAGGCCATATGGTTTGCAAAATTGTCGGACCAAAATCTAAGGACGTTGGTTGCCGTCGACGGCAACCGAAACGGCGCTTAATGTTATTAACATGAAATTTATCGCGATAAATGATATTTTTATCCACCCGTCACCGATTTTTCTACTATTTATCGAAAGGAAAAATTCGCCGCGATAAATCATAGCAAATTATAATACGATATATTTATCGACTGGTATCGCGATAAAAGAGATTTCTGCGATGAAAAAGTTCTTTATCGCGATGAATTTTTCCTTTAGATAAATACTAGAAAAATCGGTGACGGATGGATAAAAATATCATTTACCGCGATAAATTTATCGAAAATGCCCTCTTGGGTATGCTTCGTAAAATAGTATCAACACAGTTTCCGAAGCAACGTGCAAACAATAACAAATACAGCCGTTTCCAGTATTTAAATTGCTGAATTGAAGACACCATATGATGATCTCGAAGGAGATGAACATGCAGATCATCAGGAGTGTAATTGCGATTTTCGTCCGTATAAAGACCCAAGCAACCCCTGGAGCTTACAACGAGCATTAGCTCTCCAATTTGGGTTATTTTTAAATAAGAACCATACATTCATATTCCAATTGGGGTGCCGGTATTGATTTACAGCTAGGTACTTGGAAATTTCATAATGACAAATTAAGGCGAGAACAACGGCAGATCAGAGAAGAACTTGAGTTATACGCAATCAACGATGTTATAGCAGTGTGGTTTATCATGATTCATCAGAAATTACACAAGTTAAACAAAGAGCGAGATCGCCGACGTTCAACCGCTGACTCGCTAACATCGACAACAGTTGTAATACCATCTGAAAACAGAATAAACAGAACCGTGAGTATAGGTACAGTATTTTACACTCCAGTAACAGAACCAGTAACACCAACATCCGATTTTGAAGTCTAGGAAAAATTAATAGTTGTTAATCATGCAACTGAAACAGTGGAATTATCAGTACCACCAGTAATGGCACAACCAATTCCTGTCATAGCACCAACATTACAAAATACAGAAGACACACCTATGGATTTGGGCGAACTGCCGGTAGGGGACCGGGTTTTTTCCGGCCCCACGGACATGCCATAGTTAACTATAGTACCATCTAGGGAAAATACATTCCGTAATAGTATTGCAATACGAAAACGACCGTCATATCTCATTCTCGCCGACAGCCACCTTAAACATCTACCAGAACGTCTTCGACAGCCGAACTATGACGTTGATATTAAAATTGTGCGAGGTGCTGAATGGATTAATCAATACGATCCAAAATTATCCATACAATCAATCATTAGTCTATCTGAAATTATTGAAGCAGTTTCTTCGTCGGTGGGAATTGGATTTGTAATAGGAACGAACACCTTACGGCATATACCATCACATGAAGCCATTGAACAAGTTAAGTACATTATAACAGTACTTCATAGGTATCATCCACAATTATTATTATCACAAATCTTCATAACCCATTGCTTCTCTTGCTTCGCGTATCTAGAAGATTTGATGAAATACAGCTAGCGGAAAACATATATCGATATAATAATGAACTTAACAACCTGGCTGATGAATTACAATTCAAAACTATTGATTGTGGAATTAGGGTAAATGATTTAGCAGTTGATAAAATGCATGTTAGGGACGCGTCAAAACATCTTATCATTCATTCAATTTTGACCACCTTTCATCAACATTACTTCGCATCATTACAACGTATCCATAATCATTCTCATTCCCCATCGCTAGCATCAATCCCATCGTGTTTGTCGACATTCTCACATCTACCGAATCAGTTACCAGCTCTTATAACACATGAAAATAAACACACATGGTCAATCCATCCACTGTAGAAAGATGAAGAATATTGAGAGTTCGTGAAAATACCATCAGAAAGATTTCAATATATATATGAAACGACCAATTTATTTTAAATTTAACATCAAAACCCTGAGAACAGTGATAAAAAACATCAATTTACGACCACGGAAAGTGGAAAAGAGATTAATTAATGGTGAATGGACAGTCCGCATTGGTCTATATTCACAACAGCAACGACAAATATATGAAGATCGCATTAGCAGTAACTTGTTTACCAAAGGACATTATATACAGTTATTTGGAAAAGATTAACTGAGAACAGTTAAGACTTAATCTGCTCTTGATTCCTTTTCTATCCTTGCTATATGTAATTATTTCGAGACATTGAGCTTTACGTTCCGTATTGTAAAACTCCTGGGAGGTGAGGGTGTTATGCGCAGTAACTAACTAGACATAGAGCACTATTTCTTTCTTTTTCTTTCACGTGGTGTCCTTGTTACCATATAGAAAAGACAAATATATTTTCGTCTGATTCACATGTAGTTCATAGTTCAAGAGTCGTACTGTAAATAGTTTCTTTTCTTTATTTAAATTGTCTTTGCACACATATATACATATATATACATCCTTACTATCTACATAGTCAGTCAGTTTCTTTATTCAAATATTCTTCACACATCTATATATATAAAGAAGAAAGTTTGTTTGTTTGTTTGTTCTCTATGCATTCAGTCCCGGTAAGAGCTAAAGCAGCCAAAATTTGATGTGCCTTTGGATTACGCTCATATGATCAACTATGGAACATCCTAAACTATTACTCATTTTCTTTTTCATTTTTGATGTACGCGCATAATATATCACATTCTTTCTGATGCGTCATATATCGTCATCAGAATGTTCACATCACAATACACGATGACGCCTACTACGATGTTTCTATATACGATGATTCCTACTGATATGCCGTTTGAGTTCAAGCGTCTGCAGCTTCCAGTATGTCTTGCCTTCGCGATGTCCATCAATAAGGCTCAAGGACAATCACTTAAGGTTGCTGGTATTAATCTAGAGACTCCTTGCTTTTCCCATGGCCAGCTTTATGTGGCGTGTTCAAGAGTCGGAACTGGAAAAAATGTATATATTTTTGCTCCTGAACCAGCAACATTGTATATCAAGCAGCTTTGCAATAAAAATTGTTTTTCATTGGACAGTTTCTCTTAAATAAAAGTAGTTTTATAAAGAAAATTGAAAAGAAAAAAGATATTTATGAAAATCTCAAA